TGGTAGTTTATCTTGATCATCTTGAACACGGCACTATCTCATCATTTTCATTCTTTGCCGATATTGTGCACTTGTAAAATTCTTCCAAATAGCCTTGACCAAGCTCTTCTCAATTTTTGACATTCTTGAGAAAACCTTTGATGAGAATATCTCAAGTGAAAGTTCAAGTGCTCAAACTAACCCCTTCTACATATGAAATCTATTCCAAATTCCATATTCAAAGACAAGACTCTATGAGTAAGGGGGAGTTTTCCTAAATGGGTCATTTCTAAACTTGTTGCTTTGTGCTTGCACAAAAATATTATTTGGCCTTGTTAGTCTTTATTCCTTTTTGGGCTTTTGTAATTGCCTATTTTCTAGCCCTTTTCATTTTTGGGTGATTAATGCCAAAAGGGGGAGAATATTTGAGGATCCCACATTTGATCTTAAAGGGAGAGAATATTTATGATCTCCTTATGATCATAGCTACAAAAGGGGGAAATATTCTAGGATCCCACATCATACCATTACATATGCATCATATGCATAAGCATGTCATTGGCATATATTTCACTTCTATTTACTCATTGACATGTATGGATATAATTCAATTGTCAAGCTTCAATATAATGTTGGTTTATATCCTTCATATCCAAATGTGGTTATTATTAATGGATTTGTCATCGATCACCAAAAAGGGGGAGATTGTAAGTTCAAGTGCCTTAATTTGGTTTCGGTGATTAATGACAAATCTAATTATATGAGACTAACGTTTTTATGAGCCTTTCTTTGACTAGTCTTATTTGGATATGAAAGTAAAAATGATGGGAGGTATGTATTAAACTTCACATATTCTAACTTGGTCTCTCTTGTGGATCCAAAATACAGTGTGAGCTCCCTCATTGATCTTGATTGATTATGTGCATATGCATTCCTTCATATCCATATGTATGCACATCTTAAGGTGGAGCTTATTCTATATTTTGTTCATTATAAGATCTCAACCTTGATTTGAAATTATCTTTCATCTCATCTCTTTGTATTGTTTATATCGGATTATTATCTATCACAAAAGAGAGAAAAGATTGAAAGATCTTGGATTAAACAATTTGTGTAATTGTTACTTTGGTGATAGATGATAAACCTATGTTTATGGGATTAACCTCTCTTTTACATAAGTTTTCAACAAGGTTATTTCCCGATAATGAGATGTGGTAGATATGCATTCTTTGGTGATGGACATTAATCATGACAAGGATGAAATTCATGGAGATAAAGCGATATGTATCACTTCTTATCTCCTACTTTTTGATAGGTTCATATATATGATTTCCATGTTATTGTTATATAAGTGTGAGACTAATGTTTACTTGAGTCTTATCTTATTTAGTCTCCTTTGCATTGAGAACATGGAGATCATGAAGGTATGTGTTTTTTTTGTTTATCTTCATCATTACTACATATGCCTTCTCTATGTGTATAGGATAAACCCCCATTGGTTCTTCTTTACTTATGCATACACTTGTCTCTCTTGTATATTTCTTTGTATGCATATACTTAGGGGAGCAAATCCTATACATTTATTGTTCATGTTTTAGATCCATGTTGTTCACCTATTATATATATCGGATCTTTGCACTTGAGCTTGCATACGAGTATATGACACTTATGATGTTAATGAATACTCAACAAACATATCCATATCTTTCATATGCAACCGGTTGGTCACCAAGTGGAGGATGCCAACCGATTTGTTGGGACTAACGTTTTCCTTTGAGCCGTGCAAAGGAATAGATCTAATTGCGATGAGGCTAATGAATGACACCATGGGTTAATGGTCACCAAGCCAAGGACATCGTCATGTTGGCAAGAATGAAGTCAAGCTTGTGATGAGAATTAAGTCTTGACAAAGGATGGCAAAGACCTCGGCATAAACATGGTTCAACCGAATGGTCACAAGTGTTGATGTTGGCTCAAGCATTGACCCCAAGTTGGATGGCACAAGGCAAAGGTATAATGGAGCTAAGAATATTTTCTTAGTCTTTTTGCCGGTCTTGGTGTTTGGTGTAGACCGGATTTACTAGATAGGTGCCGTACTATCAAGAGGGGTCTATGAAGCGAGCATGCGGATGATTTTGTGCCATATTAGTTCATATGCATATAGATGCATTTTGTGGGCTTGTCTAGCCAAGTGTGGTGAGTTTTATCAAGTCCCAAACAAAGAGAGAAGTGGGCACATCCTATAGGTTTGGGTAGCCTCACGTGGTTATGTCCGGTGGAGTATCCTTTGGAGTGTGAGCCATTTCTCCCTGAGAAAAGTTGTGTTTCTTGGATGGATTGTTCATGGGTTGGATAGCCCTTTGAATAAGCTTTCCATAGAGTCAGAGAACGCCAAATTCCGAGATCCGAGTCAAGAGATATCGCCGTCTTACTAACGGTTAGTTGTGTTGAAAAGTGACCAGCGGTCTGACCGTGGGCCTTAGGTCGGTCTGACCGGGGCTGTTGGCCGGTCTGACCGGCATGGTAAGGCCGATCTGACCGGTCCTACTGGTCTGTTGCACTGGTCTGGTTTTTGGTGGCGATACAGAGCCACCAGAGCCCAACCGGTCAGACCGAGCCGTGGACGGTCTGACCGGCCGCTTCACTGCGGTCAGACCGGCCAGGTTGAGTGGGCTCAATGATTGCCCTGTAACTACTAGTTTTCTAGCCGTTACAAAGTAGTCCGGTCTGACCGGCCACTCTATGGCGGTCTGACCGGCAGAGCATAGAGTTGGGGATTTCGACTCCAACGGCTAGTTTTGGTGGTTGGGGGTATATATACCCACTCCCCAGCAGCAAGGGCAAGGTTTTGGCACTCCATTGCATTATCTTGAACCCTTGCAAGAGCTCTCACACCCTTGTGCACTTAGTTTATCTAGTGAGGTGTTAGAGAGTGAGTTAAGCCAATCCAAGTGCATTGCTTCATTGTTATAGCTAGTGTGGCACTTGATCATCCTTGGCAAGCATCCTAGACTTGTTACTCTTGAAGGTTGCTGCCTCCTAGACGGCTTGTGGAGGTGTTGCCCGGTGACCTCTCCGAGGAGATTGTGGAGGAGGCCCGGCGCCAGTTGAGAGTGGTTTTGAGTTCACCACCTTCGGAGTGAAGATAGAACTTTCCCAGTGATCGAGGCTTTGGTAGTCCTCTCCGTGGGCCGGCTCCCGCCTTGCCCACCCCTTGACGAAGGGGCCGTGCGGTGGCTTCGTGGTTGAGCGGTGGAGTTGGGCTCGCCTCAACGGGGATTAGGAAACCGGCGAGTTTCCGAACCTCGGTGAAAATTCCTTGTCTCTTGTCTCCTTTATTTTGTGCAAATTTACTTTGAGCAAGTTTACATACTAGAGTTTATTTGTGCTATTATCACCCTAGGCTTGCAAACCTCAACATAGGCTAGCTTCTTTGTGCACTTACTTGAGACTAGTTGATTTAGGTTTTGAATTGTGCAAAACCATTTTGATTTACGCTTCCACATACAAAACTCGGTTTTAGCCAAAAGTTTGAAAAACCGCCTAGTCACCCCCCTCTAGTCGGCCTCCTTGATCCCACACACACGCACAAAAAAATAACATACAAAACATGAACCTTTCCTCCATTTGATGCTGTTAGCAGTAGTCATTACATGCACTACCACCGCTACCACTGACCACCTCAAATGCTGCTATTCTTATCTAGAACGTCAAATATGTAAGCTAATCATGGACCTAACAATGTACATGAGACTCAACTATAGCAAGTGTTTCCTGATTTGCTGCACTTGTTACGAACTTGGAGTTGCTTCCTGTGTTCACTACCGGAAGTGTTTGTTTTACTGGCGGATCCAGAAATTTAGTTCGTTGGTGTCATAACGTGTTTATCGGTGTCATAGCATGCTAATTACATTTAGAATATAGTGTTATAATATATGGATAGTCAGTTTAAGCATAGCTTTTGCCAAAAGTCGTCGGTGTCGCCTGACACCAGTGGTATTACTGTAGATCCACCACTTTGTTTCCACCAACTATTAGTCCAATATTTTTTGTCCAAAATTCAGTCCAATAAAGTTGAAGAGTAAAATTTAGAAAAACTATGGATACTTTGATAAAACTACCACAATATTGCATATTTAAGCCGTATCATATTTAACCCATTGCATCACAAAACTACAAACTTGGTGCTGAACTTACCAAGAAACTATATATTTAAGTCATAGAGTCGTAAAATTACAGATTTAGTGTTAGTTTTTATCACAGAACTATGAATTTTAAAAGCTCCATCCTAGTTAATTGGTCATTCCTTGAAACAAAAATCCAAAATTTACACACCTTTATAAGTAACTCTAGCCTAGTTGGTTACATGTGGATGTGAAGGGTTGATTTGCTTCTGAGTTCGTTTTCATGTAGGATTGGATCAAATTCTTTTTTTTTCTCTAGGGATGGTTTTTATGTAGTAGTGGGTTACCCATTGCGTGGGCGGATGGACTCCGTTTTTTTACTATAGTAGATAAATCATATGCTAAATTTTATAGTTTTATGCCTTCAACCTATAGTTTTGAGGTAGGTTTGACATTAAATGTGTGGTTTTGTGATATGATGATTTAAATTTACAGTTTTGGTGATAATTTTGTCAAAGTATGTAGTGTTGTGAAATTAATTGAATAATGAAATTCTCAAATGAATAACAACCAGAGTATGGTGAGGAAGGGCTACCTTTGCAAATCGGCCGTGAACTAGAAATTTGTGATACTTCGGGGTAGTGTTAAGTGAGGTTTGGGATTTACCTTGATGTGACATATTGGAGTTTATTGATTAATGCTTAAGTAGGTCATTTCCCTAAAATGTTGATATAGTTGAATGGTTAATTGTAAGTTTACAAAAACCAGCGGTTTGGATTCCAAGTTCTTATAGCCCACAGAAAATGGAATCTTCTAGAGGAAGCAAGGCAATCTCGCCTTTGTCCCCTATACAGCCCGCCCCTAGTTTTCTCCTTCCTCCAAACCCACCATATGCGACCCTTCGCTCATATATACCCAATCGGCCGTTCCTCACCTTTGTGCCTACTCTAATTGCCTCATTTCCTCGCCGCTTATACAATCTCAATCATTGGGTTCCTTTTGGGGTAGGTTTTAATTAATCGTATTCATGTTCTTGTTGATTCTTTTGGTGATTTTGTTTATAGTTTTGGTGATTGAAAAGGTCATTTCTATATTGGAATTGTAGGATTTAATTTTTTTCTAGGTCTGTTACGCGATGAAACGGGCAGGGAGCAAGGGTGTTTTGGAGTCATCCTTCTCATCATCCAAGAAGACCACCCGCCGTCAGAAGAAACCGCCTACTTCCTCTCTTGAAGAACTAGAACTGCCAAACTCGGCGATGAACAAGATCCAAGAAGTGCATGACATCGCTAGGGATGTGTTCTTTGCAGCCACGCCAGGCTTTGTTCCATCATCGTTAGCCGAGGCAAACCTCACCAAGTTGCTCGGTTAGCAGTCATCTTCTTGTCTTTGCATCTATATCATGCGCATACCATCTTATATCTAGAAATGCCCGTCACTTTGAGCTTTGCATGAGCATGACTATACTCTGAGCTTTTATGGAGGTTAGTTTGATTTAGTGGTTTTTATTTCATACACGTATTCTTACAAGATTTTAATCCATAAATCTCAGGCATGATCTTTTATTGGTGGTTGCATTGTCCACTGCGTCTCTTTTCATATGGACATTTTCCTGCGATAGCAATGGTTGTTGTAATTGCCTACTATGCAATGTTTTCATCGCACATATTGAAATATGCTAGCTAAAAGTGTATCTAATTATGTGATCTGATATAGGAAGTTACATATATATTTTTTGTTCTTGTGGATGCTGCATAAATATGAGAATTTGTTGGGAATGTAATGGAAACGTTTTGCTTCCAATTGATAATTGTTTTCAAGAAATCCAATTCATAATTTTTAGCTACATGCACTTGTGGTATTCACACAAATCAACACATTAAACCATTGATGCAGATACCTTGAAGCTAGAGGATTTTGGGCTTGATGCAAGCATGCCGTATTTTAGAGCTGATCCTCAAGGGCATCCTAAAGTAACATATGTGCACTTTGGTGATGATAGTCTTAACTTCTCGGTAATTTAGTACTTCACATTTTGTTGACATTGAATCATGGAAAATGTGTCTATTTAGTGTAAACTCCACTTAGATGACACATTTTACACATTTTTTTGTAGTTTGGTGTGTTTTGTCTACCACAATCGGCTGTCATTCCACTCCATGACCATCTAGGGATGACTGTCTTTAGCAAGATTCTTCATGGCTCAATGCACATAAAGTCGTATGACTGGGTTAAAACTCCCAATGGTAAAAATCGTATCTGCAGGGAAATAGATGGTTAGTTTGAGTGCTTTTCTCGCTAACATATTCACTCTTTTTTCTCTCTCACATGTTCCCATTTACACCACATTTTTTCACAAGTTTTTTTTTCTAATATCCAGTCTTCTAAAATACAGGTGCTCATTTTGCTAAGGTGAGAACTAACACCATCTACGATGATTCATCTAAGACAACGGTTCTATACCCAGAGAGTGGAGGAAACCTTCATTGCTTCACTGCAGAAACTGCTTGTGCAGTGCTTGATGTCATGGGCCCACCATATTCCTCAGTTGAAGGAAGGGACTGCTCATACTATGGAGTGTGTCCTTCGCCACGTAAGCTCTAAAATTTTCCAATTTGTTCTATTTATTACTAGTTATTTTGGCATTATAAATATTTTATACCCCCGATATCTGCCATAAGATACACAACCAAATTCTTTGTATTAGCTAAGTTTATGTAATATTTGAACACTAAATGTTAGTTGCTAATTTGTGTGACTTTTTTTTAACCGTAGGTGGAGTAAGCAGGCGGATTACTGATGAACTATCTGATTGGTTGAGAAAAGAACGTTGCACTTTCAATATGAACGCTGTGCTTGTGAAGCCAAGTACAATGACTTGATCCCCTTTTTATGTTGAGGGCATGCAAATCTTCCATCAGAAATTTGGATATTCTTTGCCTGGTATAGAGATATGCATAGTCGTAGAAAGAGATAGGGAGAGTGATCAAAGGATGTGAGTTAAGAAGCTAGCAAGATTTGTGTACCAAGCATTATTTTTTTTCCTTGAATAATCTTTTGTGGTGAAACTATGTGTCCTGTTTATCGACAACTCTATTTTTTTCCTATGTTAGTTTTTCAAGTGAATGTTTTGATTCAAACATATATTTTCGACCTCACATCCATTATAATTATATCAACTATTCAACTGATCTACGCGACCGTTATAATTTAGACCCACCATCCAATCTATTTAAGTCCCTTTCGACCTCTTGGTAATATAATAAATTATACGATTTAAGATTCTTAAATCTGTGTAACTGATTTCAAAGGGTAAATAAAGACCGAAAGGAAATCTCCAAATTGTGGACTCTGAATTGAAACAGTAAAATGATCAATAAAATTGACCAGTAAAACCTCTATACCAAGATACATGCTATTCTGCAAAAAAGATTCTTCTCTTCTATACAACCGTAGAATACTAGAATACATATCCGTAGAATAGATCCCTGGAAGAAATCCTGACCGTCAGACGAAGTCATAGTTAATTTCGTGGCAATCAAGAATCCAAATACTACCTTGACCAATAATTTATCATTTAGCAGCACGAAAGCATCCATGTTTTACTGCAGGAGAAGGGCAGAACCAGAAGATAGAAGCACTGCATCTGCTAGCTAAGCATTTCAATCGTTTGGTCTTCCACTCTTTCTTTGAAAACTTCCTTCTGTCGTCTCGTCAGCTCTGACACCTGAAGATTATGCTCAATCTTTCTTTTTTTTTTGGGTTCATTTGTGACAAGTCAAGCCTAGAGGCGAATTGAAACTGCCTGATGCGTGCCCAGTGGTGCATACTATGCATGTATAGAAGCAAAAATTCGACGTTGGCGATGACGTAGAAGTGTTCCTCGAAAAGATTGACACAAAAAAAAAAAGCAGCCGTGGAGCTAGAACTTAAAAAGTTTATAATTGAGGGGATCAATAATGTTAATTTTTTCAAATTTTGCTAAAGTGACAGTAACTTTAGCTAGTGAAAAATTCAAGACATGGGGGAGGCTAAACCACCGCTCGCCTCTCCTATCTATGCCCCCTGCAAAAACGCATATTCTCAGGCCATTCACAGTGCGTCTTCGTGGCGTTCGGCCTCAACCAAAAAGGCGAATATTCGTTGTCATGTCCTCTATCCGCGCGGCCTCCTCAAGAACACGTAGGAAACCTTGGCCACGGGTTCCTCGTCGCAGGTGGGACCCACGCTCGTGCTCCGCACCGTCACGTCAAGGATGGGAGAGGGAGGAGAGAGACCTCGTTGTCCATCGTTGCGCTCCACGCCCGCCGAGCTCGTCGGCCAGGGGAGGAGGGCCGCTGGATGCTCGCTGGGTCGATGGGGAAGGTGGTGGGGCTGAAGAAGCTTGCCGGCTTCCTTCGCCCGACGATGCCGGAGAAGGGAGAGGGGAGAGCCACCGACGGGGGCAGAGGACCGGCGCTGTCGTGGGGCAGGTCGCGGCCCCGGCTGCTCCTGCGCCAGATCCGCACCGCCCGCTGTCCCTCTCTCCCGGGCCGATTCCACGCCGCTGAGCTCGCCCTCCTTCGCTCCCGCTACCAGAGGCCGTCGCTCCTGACCTCGCCGTCCTCACTCCCGCGCCAAGTCCATGTTGCCGACCTAGTCGGCCCCCGCCGCCGACCTCGATCGCCTTCCCCAGCTCGTGCGCCGATTCCTTCCGTTGCTCCCGCCACGCCGTCCTCTTGACCGCTTCGCCGCCTGGTGCCGCGCAGCTCGAGCCGCTGCTCGACCACCCCGCCGGTCGTCGCCGCTCGGGCCGCCCCGCCGGTCGCTCCACTACTAGTACTTGAGAGAGAGTACTGGGTGAGAAAAGAAACGAAGGTGAGAGATTGGGAGATGAAAAGTGAAAAGATGTATTAGTGGGACCCACTACTGGTACTTGCACCGTGGAGTATGAAGCTTATGAGGTTATTCGTCTATGTGGTATATGAGGAACGGCAAAAATTGGTGACGCATTGTGAGCGCCCTCAACATCTCTACCAAAATTATGATATTCTTATCTCTACAAGTATGTCACTCGCAAAAAAAAATGTAATAACCACCAAACCAATCAAGAATATCCAAATATGATAAATAGGTCCAAATTGGTTACTAATAAGATACCCTAATCCTATACAAAATTGGGCTTTTGCTAAATATCCAACGAGGGAGTAGCATCTACTTTGGTATCGAAATTTTCCATTTGAGTATCTATTTGAAATGAATTATCCAGTATTTGATTCCTTACCAACAAAGAATTTAGACTAGAGGTGGTCCCACCTTTTGAGTTGGTGAGATTATTGTGCATGTTTGAACGTATAAGTGTTTATAGAGTAACCTCGAAGGGTTTTGTTCATTTTGTTTGGCCTCCCAATTTTTCTCATTATGAGAGGCCTTCATGCAGCGCTCGTGCCAGAGAAAGACGGATGATCGGAGCATGCACCATAAGGAGAGCAAACATATAATTGGCAAGATCTTTTTTACTACCGAAAATTGTAATACATGTATCTATACTTAGCTAATAGATATTCAAGAAAGATATAGAGATAGATAGTAGGTATGTCATTATCTAAAAAAAAAGATAGTAGGTATCTAAAAAAATAAGACTACGTACATAAAAGTGTAGGACGTGTACAGTAGCTAATAGACAAACTAACAGGCAGATATATAGATAGATAAAACACATATGCTTTCTAAGAGTACAAAAAAGTGTAAAACACATAAACTAGTAATAGATACACCAGTAGACATATAGTAAGGTAGACGATACATATATTTAATTTTATTAATACTATATAAAGTATGTACACTGACTAATAATAGATAAACTAACATGCAAATACATATATAGATAGATAATACATATTTTTGATTTTAAGACTACATAAAAGTGTAGAACACATAAAACTAGCTAATAGATACACTACTAGTAGACAGATATATGGATAGATAGATAATACATATATTAATTTGTTAGGACTACACAAGGTAAGCGAGCAATTTTACGGTTTCTTGAGGAGATAATATAAGATATAACTTTTTCTATTGTAAAATTGGTACCTCTTAGTATCTAGTTACTACGAGGTATACCTAAATTTTATACTAATTTTTTTTTACCTCCTGGTATCTACTTAAGGACCGTAAAATTGCTCAAAATAAACTAGTAGGCAGCTGTATATATAGAAAGGCAGCACGTACAGATCAATAAAACAATTCATTTTCAGACGGCCTATATGAACAGCAAATTTAAGACTTACCTTCATTAGAGCACCAATTTTCTTGTAGTGTTTGTCACATCATACATGTGTGTCGGAGCCCAAAACTAATAACTTGGATCCGACTGAGATTAATGTATCAATCCCTGGATCATTAAAAATTGATACATACAATATAACTGGTTTTTCATTGCATATGTTAAAGTCTTACAATACTAAGGGTTTTACAATAATAGGTACTCACCTATCTAATTAGTACACAGCGGAAGTTTCTATACATTCTGACTAGTGAGGTAAAACCCTCAGGGATTTTCTAAGTTATCGGGGTCTTCGTAGTAATAGTCATATGGGTCCTCCTCTTGACCCAGATCTGAAAAAGGGGTTATAAGAGCAAGGATGAGTATTCACAATACTCAGCAAGTTATAATGAAAATATGTTATGCATTGACATATAATAGGGTTCTTTGCAAAAAGCAGTATTAGACAATCTGGAAAAGTTATAGCAGAATTTATAAAACATATAAACTTTAGATTTCTAACCAGGGTACCATATGAGTCCCGGTACTCAACTCCACGAGTACAGCTATTCGAATAGTTTCAAAGATATTCTACTGCAGCAGATGTACGCTTTACCCGCAGTCCACGACTTGCTGATAATTATCGGCTTTAGTCATAGCCCAACATTAAGTCATTAACAATTATGGCACCTGTTCCATGAACTTATATCCTCATATGCTCTGAACATAATGTTAACAGCAGCAAGAGGAGTTCTGGCGTTCCCGAGGTATTTAAGGGGAACTGATCGTATGACACCACGTCATCTCGATCAGGGTTTATAAATATACCATATAGTTTATACTCGAGTATCACAAGCCATTTACCTGTACATGGTAATGGTTAAAGTTGCCCTTCGCGGCTATAGTTGCCTCCTGCGCGAGGACTTAAAAATAAGAACCACTATACAGAGGTGCCATATTGCCAATTAACCTAATAACTAGGTCTATCCCCATTCTAGAAACTGCGGTCGTACTCGTTCATTCGACATAAGTACCTGGTAAAACTTATATCGATTGAGACAATACTAGCCACCCGGAAATCATCCAAATCTTACGTATTGTCCCAATCTAAGTATAGGGTATTTTAACCAGATTGTAAACAAAATAAGCAATACTAAATTATCTGGGTTTCTATGATTAATTTATGCATAGAAAATAGAATATTGAATAGAAGGCTATAAATAAATAATTTGTAAAATATAGGCTGAAATGATCAACATGTATATGGTAACTTGCCTTGCTCGATGTCCTGAGATTGATTGATATTATCTAGAGTGTCAGAGGAATCCTCAAGACCTAGGGTTAGACATATAAAATTCAAATTCAAAAAGGAGTTTAAATAAAATCCAAAAATAAGAAAAATAGAGTAAATAAAATAAAATGTAAAAATAGCAAAAAGGGGTCTAGTAGATAGAGGATGATTTTAGAAGAATATTGGTCCAAGTTTTAATGAAATTGGATCTATATTTTAAAAGATATGGTCTTCTAAAGTTTGAAAATCAAATAAATGTGAAATGGCACTATGTGGGTCCCACCTGTCAGTCTCTCTCTCTCTTTTCTTCTTCTACCTCCGGCCGTTCCCCAAATCGGGCCGGCGGCGCTAGGGTTTAGGATTGCGGCGGCACTAGAGGGAGAAAGTGGTTGCGGCCGAGGAGGGGAGGGAGCTAGGGATCTCCGGCGACGGCGAGCGGCGGCGATGGAACTAATTTGGTGTGTGGACGGCCTAGCGGCTAGAGCGGCGGTGGCACGGTTAGGCTGTGATGGCGACCAGAGTGATGAGAGTTAGACATGGCTAGGGGAGGGGTTCTAGAGCATCTAC